AAAAAAAAAAAAAAAAGCATGTATTACTAAATATAAGAATGTTGTTTCAGATGAAGATATATTCAAACTTAGATTTATCCAAAATTTCTCAACAATTACAATGACTATACATGTTCCAAAACATTTCTTTTTATGTTTACAGTGTTAGACAAAGATAAAAAGAACAAACTAAATTATATGTACACTTTTAATTCATTTCTGTAAAATCATGCATATAAAACATGCTAGACCGGAATACACAATGCAAGGTTTACCATGTTCAAGTAGTAGAATCACAGACTATTCCTCCCTTAATTTCCTTCTTACAGTGGCTGCACATTATTTTAATCATTGAGTGATTAGTTTTTAATGAACCCTGAAAGGCTGCTATCTGATCTACTTCCTTAATAATCCAAAGGTTCACCGATCCCACTTTAAAAATCATTTAAAAAAGCATTCTGTTTCTTTCACGTCATAGGGGGAAAAATCTACTTTGATCAGGCTTACCAATTTCACGACTTCCATATTCTCTTTACGGAGAATTTTAATCTCCCAGATGACATTTAAGTGATGTGGAAAAACGGAGCCCCTGTCCTTCCACTTCAGGTGTAACGTGGAAGTTGGGAAATCAGCAGACAAACTCAAGATCTCCGGAGCGTCTGGAATGAAGGCTTAAAAAGGGAAACAAAAGATAAAACTTAGTAAAGTAAGTAATAATTTTTCATAGTGTAATTCCATTAGTCAACTCATCTTAAACTCTATTACTTCCTAATCAAAAAACAAATAATTAAGAATTAAAAGCAAACTCTTAAACCCATTACTGAAAAAAGAGAATATACATATTTATTCGTATGAGCAGCTCCCAATGATTCGCAGCCAAATCTGAGAAATTTACTCATCAGCCAGCTGTTTCGAATCCATAGTCTCTCTTCTAATAGCAGCGGGGTCCCCGCCACACCCGGTGTCCCCCGGCCTGGGCCTGCAGGCAGGCGCCATCAGAGAAGGAAGGAGCTGCCTTTGCACGGCTGTGGGCCGGGGCTGAGAAAACGACAGGATCGGGAAGCTTCCTCCATGGCTTCCTGCGTGTTCTCTGCAGCCGTCCCCTCACCCCCCATGTCGCAGCCCCCCATGCTGGGGGAAGTCACTCACACGAGGATGCTATGGGCCATTCCTGGTTATAGGTATCAATAAATAGAAGCAAGACCATAGTAAAGACCCAGGCATTGAGGGAGGAAGCCAACGGGGCACTGCGAAGACCCAGGAGTCCTCCAGAAAGGCTGGGTCAGCAGTGCTGTGCACCCCGGCCTCCAGGGGACCGAGAGCAGGTAGGGTGACCAAGCAGGGGCCGCTGGAGAAGGCAAGCCTAGCGAGAGCTTGGGGCCTGCCACCACACAGAGAAAAGCCAGGACAAAACCTGATGCGCGTTTCAAAGGAAGAGCTGGCTCGAAGACATGAAGGATCAGTGTATCAAGAAAGGCAAACATCTGAGCTCTCCGCAGGCTTCTAGCCCAGAAAAGCAAGAGAGGGTAAAGGAATCGGGGCCACTGGGAGGAGACACAAGAGGCTGCTGAGGGTGACCAAGTGCCTGGGGACGGACAGGTGTCAACAGAGGGATCTGCAGACAGAGGAGCGAGACCGAGGACACAGACTGGACAGGATCCTGCTGAGTGTCGCTGAAGAAATGGATGTGAACGTATATGGAACAGCCAAAGCTTATTGGGGGACCATGGGAGGACAGTCACACCTGCAAGAACCCAGAGACCCTGGAGAGGACACAGGAACAGAAGGAAACCAAGAAAATCCAGGATCACCGAGACCAAAAGAAATGGGTTGTTAGGCAGGCAAACGAAACAGAGTTCATGGAAGTCAGAAAAAAAAAAATAGTAACACTGGTGAGGGGACTGTCAATATTAGAGAAAGAAGTGCGCAGGGGCAGAGGGCCCAGGAAGCGCGTTACAGAAGGTAGAGAGAAACCAAGCAGGTAGCCTTCAAAACCTTCAAGTCTCCCTGTCTATGAGGGACGAGTAAGCTACTGGAATTTCTGTGGATCAGTGGAAAACACAAGGTATGAGCCTGTTCCATGTACTATGAAAAGTGGGCTTTCTGGTATGAGGGGCAGAGACACCAGGGACTCTGGGCTGCCAGCTCGCTCCTCAAGCGACAGTAAGGTAAGGGGAAGTTAAAAGAAATGCAGAGAAACGCGCACTCGGGCCTCATCGCTACCCTAGTGGCTTCCCACGAAGCTCAAGGACCAGTGAAATGAAATCCTGGCAAGAGGGTAGCCGAAGGTGCTAAATAACAGAAATGGCAGAGCACACCCCTATCATAACTTCACCCTGGAAGTAAGTCTGTACTAGACTTGACTACAGCCTGCTGATGGGTTTGTGTGAAATGTTCAGGCCGCACAGGAACAGCAGGCGCATGTAGCAGAGGGGACAGTTACTCAGCTACGTGAGGACGGCAGAGGACACTGCATAGGAGTGTTAGTGGGACACGGCTCCCAAAGAAGGAGCAAATGAGGGGAAAGAAGTCGTCTTAGTGCTGGGAGAGGGAGAGGTCAAGGTGCCAGTGTGACCACACCGAGCACAGGCTCAAGGATGCGGGTCTTTCAAACGTTTCAAGTTATCAACATGTAGTAACTTCAAAATTATGAAACATGGGAGTATTTTACTAAGGCAACACTCATCCATTAAAATGCTTTCCTCCCTGAAAAGTCCACATAATTTACATTTCATCTAAATAGCTGTGGGCTACTCTTCAAAACACAAGTCATAGTCAATATTTCAAACTAAAGACAGCAATTACCAATGAAAGGATTAGACACACAGGCACACACTAAGTTCCCCTGAGCTCCATGAGCTGTCATCTGCATTTCTTTCCAACTGAAAGAGACACTTGAGAAGAATGTTCACTTGCTTTCTAGAAATGAGGAACTTTTCAGCTAGGGAAGAAATTCCATCAATCTTGTTTGTTTATTTTTTAAAGCTAGAGCATCCCCCCTGTCCCCCGAAACCTCCACGTTCTTTTTGCCTCAGGACGTCAGAACTGGGGAGCCTTCCCAGCTCTTTCACAGGATCCACAGTGTTTATTCAGCCTCAGACAGATCCAAATGTTCAGGTTATTATAAGAAACTTGGACATTAAAATTCTTAAAAAGACTTATTTTTGTGCCTGCCCTTGTCAATTAGAAACTTATCACATGTATGTATGTATGTATGTTAAATATCTTGTTTGCTTTTTATATGTACACTGTTGAAAGCATCTTAAGACCTAGAGAAAACTTAATTTCGTACACTTTTCTCTAGTGGCAATTTGCCAAAGAACCAGGTCCCCCGAGGCTCATCTGCCTCTCAGTCCACAGCTTCCCCTGCACACAGCAGGTGCCCAGATCTCTGATGCGTCCATCTCCCTCCCTCATGTTCACCTACCTTGCTTCTCAATTTTCTTACCAGTTCTATTTCACTAGTAGTACTTAGTAATATATTAGTATTGGTAGACTGTTAATGTAATATTAAAATCATAATCAAGCCATTACTAAAAACGCTATCGACAAATTATATGATATCCAAAAGCAATGACCTATCAACCAAACAGGTCAGCTAGAGCCACTCTTGACCTGCCTTCTAATTCTTTCCAATACTGTCACCTGTAAGCAGCTTCTAAGACAGACCTTCTGAGAACTTACTGAAAAATCTGACAATACAAACAGGCTCTCCGACGGAGTCCTGGGGAATTTTTTAAAAATCTGGAATAAAATTTGGTTCGATTTCTGATACCGCATACAAAATAATTCCATATGAATGAAAGATTTAAATCAAGCATGAAAACAAAACCAAAAACTTGTGAAGAAAAATAGCAAGAGATTCTATTGATATAAAAATGAAAACCTGTGGTGTGAAAAATCCCAGAGTTAAAATTTTAAACTTGGAAAAATATTTGTAGCAAATATGGCAGAATTAATAACCATAATAATTTCAGCATGAGAAAATTTACAAAGGATACAAATCATTCAAAAAAAAAAAATGACTGATAGTTTAAAAAAAAAAAAAATCACAGAAATGCAAAAACAACAGAGCTATAATTTGGGGGCCACCAGACTGAAATGGCAAAACTAAGATGAACAACACTGGTCCTGGCGAGGATGTGGAGGAACAGGCTCGCTCTACGAGGGTGTTTGTGGGAATATAAAGGGATTTAAAATTTCTGGAGAAAAACTGGCAATGGATATGAAAAGTCATAAAAAGTGAAATTTTCTCTAATGCAGCATTCCTAACTCTAGGCAGTTAGCCTAAGGAAATCATCACACAGAGTCAGAAACATATATGTGCAAAAGATGTTCATTAAAGCGTTGGTTACAATATTGAAAAACTGGAAATAAAAATCTCAATGTTAATAACCAATGACTTAAAGTAATTATTGTTCCTCCCCTCCATTCACTGGAATACTATGCATCTTGTAATAGAAAACAACTGGAAAATCTATCCATGTCTTCAGTTAAGCAGGTTATAAAGCAATATAAACCTTATCGTTTATATCTACATGCACAAAAAATATATTTAAGTGTTCACAGTATTTCTCTGTGGGAACTGGGATCGTGCTGATGTGTAAAAAACAACTGCTCATGGATCTCATATACAACTTCAGCGAGGAAACAGCAGAAAGGCTTTTCTCTCCTTACTCGAAAGATGGTGCTAGGCAGCACTTTTCCCAGACAACACTTCGGCCAGAAAACGGGACAGAGTGTAAGTTCCTGGAGAGCACGCTTTGTTACCTTTCTAAATCTACGCGGTCTCAGACACAGACCCCTGCAAACACGCACCCTGGCCGTGAAGTTGGGCAGATCGCCAAGGGACTTACATTTTTCTTTCCTTTGCTTCAAAGTAAGTCATCCTCGTAAGACTCATTATAATATTACTATGATGCCAAGTCCATAATAGTTGTCAGGATCCATTAAACCTGCTTACTCCACCACTAAAAGAGTGAAGACTACTGGGGTATTGAAGTCTCACTACAGAGCAAAACTTCCCTCTGCATCTGCCTGGGCTTATCGCCAGCTTCCCCTCAGCTGGTGGCATAGGTCTAAGGCACTCAATCAACACATGTGCAAAAGACGCCTGCTGTGTGCAAGGCACTGGGCGAGGTGCTGGGTGCAGAAGACAAAGTCCCTGACCGGATGGAACCTATTTTCTTGTGAAAGAGACACATAGTCAGCACCTAATTACATAAAAAGTTCTTAATGCAATTGTGAGAAATGCCACAAAAGAGAAATCCAAAATACCTAAGGGGAAAGAAATGGGGTCTCCTCTGGGAGGGGTGGTCAAAGGCTACTTCCCAGAGCAAGGAGAATCTGAAAGGTGTGCAGGAATCAACGAGGCAAAGGGACTAAGAAAAAAGTATCCAACTGAGGGAAGGATCCTGACTTCAGTGACATCTATTTCGATGGACTAGGGCAGTGATTGTCATCTTCTTTCATCTCATGGCACACATAAACTCGTTACAAAAATTCTGCGGTACACACAAAAATACATTTTTTGCCAATCATCTGACAAAAAAAAAGGTATAATTTTGATTATTACTGTTGTGTCGGCTGTTGTGGTTTTTTTATTTGACAATCTAAGGAAAAAGAGATCAGTGCCCCTGACTAAATAGTCAGGTGTTGCATGTTTTAAACATTCGCACGGCACACCAGTGTTCCGCGGCACACTGGCTGAAGATCGCTGGACTAGAGGACAAGTGCGCCTGCTCCTGGATCACGGCTGTACTCTACTACCCACAGTGTGGGTGCTGGGTAAATGAAAGTATTTGTATCACAGCTGAAATTCCAAAGAAGGGTCAATTTTGCCAGTTATAAGCATCATGATACTAACAGAGGCACTGTTTTGAGTTACTTTCAAATCCATTTTCTTTTCAAATACTTACACACATTTTTTTCATTCAGTATGAATTTACTTATAGAACTTCCAAAATCAGGTACAGAGTTTATCGTTATTTCATAATCACCAGGTGTAAGAGGTGGGATTTTAGTAGTTTTCCCCAATCGATAACAAGAATGGAACCTGCAATATAAAAAATCAAATTTTAAATCAGCAGATAAAATCAATATTTCAATTTCCATTAAAACGGGATTAACACAAAATGCCCTGGCAAATACTTTGTTCTGCTCAACTCTGCTTTCAAAATGCTTTCACTTCCCACCCGCTCTCTCTCAGACAGAAGCGACCTTTCCTCTGTGGTTCCATGGCTCTTTGTATCTTTATGAAACACATTTACATTCTTTTTACTGTTATTCATATACATTTCTAACTTCCCACAAAAAATTTAATTCAAGTAGAAGGACTCTTGGTGGCTCCTATGTCCCTGCCCACACCCAGCCCCTAACAGGGGCCTGTTCACATTATTTACTCAGGGCTGAGGACCTTCGGAAAGGCTCGGCTCGCCTCCTCTCAACTCACAGTGAGGCTTCTTTTGACGCCAGCAACACAAAACTAATACAGGGAAGAGGCATGAGAACTAAACAAATAGACCCAAGTGAAGCCATGTTAGACCGGGCACCTGCTACGTGCCACCAGACTGGAAACTTGGCTAATCGGTCATGAGATAAGATGACTATCAATAGCTTGCTCATACCACAAACATTTACTCCCACAGTAAGAAACAACAGGCCACAAGATATACCTTGTAAAGGTTAAAGTTGATATCAATGCTTTTTCAACTCTCTGTTTCCCCATACCAGCAATTTTCCATAAAAAGTATGGAAAGATAGAAGCTCGACCACCAGAGAGAGAAATGGCTGGAGTCCCCCTCGCCTCACAGGTAAGGAGAGGCTGCTGCTCTGTGTAGGAGCCACTCTTGGCCTCTCCGCCTCACTAATAAACTCTCCTTCACCTGAACCTCTTGTCTGGCTCGTGTCTTAAATTCTTTCTTGTCCTGAGCCAAGAACCCTCTCGCCAGGGGCTGGAGTGGCCCCTAGGGACTCACCCCTCTGGCATCAAAACCACATAAATTCTCTAAATCGTGCTGTTTCATACATTCATGCATTGCGCCCAATACTCTTTCCCTCTGGAATGTCCCTACGTCCTTTTATGCTGAGAAAACTGCGTATCCTGCTCCCCAACCACACTCCCTCCGAGCAGCGTCTCTGGAGCGCCCGCCACACTCCTCGGCCATGCCCCCTGGCCCCTCGTATACGATCCTGTCAGCGCCGAACCCACAGCGCTGATAGGGTTTGTCCACTGTGAGCCCCTGGGAATCAGAGCCAACTTCCTCTCCATGTGGCCTGCGGTGCTGTTCAGCACATTTTTGAGGTTTTGCTCGTCTGGATCCACAGGAGGATTACACGTCCCGCTCCTCTGGAGCAGGGCATGGTGATGTGACTTCGCCTGTGAGACACCCCAGTGAAATCGTCCCATCGCTTCAGGAGGAAGCTGCGAAAGCCCCCCAGCTGTGCTCCCCGCTTCCGGACAGGACAGCCCCTGGGCCTAAGGAAGAGACATGCGCGGGCGCACATGCCAGGGGACCCAAGACAACTCAGAACACAAGCAGAACATAACCCTTTATTTTCACGGCAGAAAATAAAGAAATAAGAATTGAGGTTGTTTCGTCAACACAACCAAACTCATCCAAACTGACAAATTACCCCAGGACTTAGAACAGTGCTCCATAAATGCCCACTGAATGAGCGAAAACCTGAGTGCATTTAAATACACATTTATGATGATTGACGTGAGGACCACCCATCAGTGAACTGGGACCCAGCACTGGTGTGCTGGGACCCTCTGGAATTGTTTGGACAATCCTGTGCCCTGCTGGGATCAGGGGAAAGCAAGCAGGGGAACTGTCTGGCTTACAGGCCGCCCAAAGGCCTCAACCCCGGACTTGAGCATTGCCTGAGAGGGTCAGGTGGTGTGACAGACCCTGCCACGTGCCTCCTAACGTCCCCTTTCCCACTGCTTACCTGGGCACTCTACCACCCAGCTAGGAACTCGGCTTAGCCATCTGCCCAAGTTCTGCCCATGAGACATAAGCAGAGGTGCCGGGTGGGGCTTCTCAGAAGTCTCCTTAAAGAAAAGCATCCCTCCTTTCCTCCCTGCTTTCCAGAACGCAGACAGGAGAGCTGCTCCTCAGGCCTCATCCTGGACCACACGCTCCCATGCGCAAGATGGTAGAGCAGAGCGGAAAGAGGAACCTGGGGCTTTCGGGGCCATAACCACCAGGTCAGCCCTTAACTCCTACCCCAGGCCTTTACGCTGAGCCACCGTTACGGACGTTTTCCGTTTGGCACAGCTGAAACTTCAGCCTAACTGATACAGGCAGACACTGGTTTGGGGCAGACGCGCGAACCTTCCCCAGAGCAGGTGAGAACCCCCCGCGCAGTACAGGGGTGTTACCTGCTCTTATTCATACGATAAAAGCAGCAAAGTTCTGGCCAGGAGAAAGGTCTCTTTCTGTCTTGAATGATGAAAGACTCAGCATTTTTAGGAAACAGACAGCTAAGATTTCAAATCTCATCTAAAAATTTACGGAACAAAATCTTTATGCTCTAAAATTAAAGAGATAGGACCTTTGTTTTTAGGTTGTAGCTGTAGATTAATCAGAGTATTTCCATTACCTGCTATCGAAGCAAATGCTGTAAAGAGCCCCGCGGCCTGCTCCTGAGGGTGCTTTCCAAGAACAGTCCCACGCTTGTAAATTGTTGGTTACACACTTCAAGTCACGGGGAGAGCCTGCAGAAGGAGAAGCCACACACACACACACACACAGCTTAATAATGTAACTGGGCTGTGCAAAGTAAGTTAAATTGTTTCAGTCGTAAGCACAAGCACATGTGTCTGCGGAGGGCTCACGTTCCTGCGCTGAGATGAGCCTACAGCCCAGGAGGTGGCTGGTTTTATATTTCTTTTTGTAGCTCTGGCTTAAAAAAGCTTGAGAGTAACCTGATGATGAACGTGGGCCAACCGCGAACCCACTTAGGGGTTAGGCTTCCATCAAAAATTCCACTTCCAGGCAACTAAGATAAATAGAGGGAGTGCCTGTGTTGATTCAGCGGTGGGACCCAGAGGGGGCCTAGGAGAATTTTTATCTCCAAGAGCCTCATTTGCAAAATAAAAGAAAAAGTGCCTCTAGGTAAAAAACAATGCCTTTCTCCCAAGCCCACAGGCAGGGCTCTAGACACCCCCAGCCACTACCGCTGGGCACCAGACTGCCACCTACACAGAAACCCCATAACCAACCTTCAGCTTTTCATGAAACATATTGAATTTATACAGTAATGAGCTCACACAAGTATCTGAAATACATACATTTCATGTGGGCCTAGACAACTGGAAAGTAACAAAGAATTCGTAAGATTACAATGTAATAGTACTTAAATCTATAAAATAACATGCCATGGAATACGTAAGCACTATACAATGAACAGAATGTCATTCTAAATGGAAAAGACAGAAGGAGGGAGGGAACAAAGCAATTAAAGTGTAAAAGAGGTATTCTATCTCAGACTCTCTGTATCAGCAATTTTCAACCTTTTTCATCTCATGGCACACATAAACTAATTACTAAAATTCTCAGCACACAAAAAATACATCGTATGTTTTGCCAATCTGAAAAACAAACAAACAAAAAAAGGTATAATTTTGAGTCAATCACACCGGACGGCTACTGTTGCATTGGCTGTTGTCATTTTTTTTATGTGACAATCTCAGGGAAAAGAGGACAGTGCCCCTGACTAAACAGTCAGGCACTGCAAGTTTTAAAAAGTCTTGCGGCACACCGGTTGAAAATCCCTGCTCTCCATAAATGCCTATGAAAAAGTCTTTTTCTCCAATGTTTACATGGAGTTGGCATGGTATTTACGACAGCAATAAATCATAAAGCTGTTTGTATAAAACAAAACAAAAACAGAAGTGCTCACACTAGACGCTGTCAGTAATTATAATAAAGTTATTTAGTGGTGATGTAAGGGAAATGAGAAGATCTGTTTAATTATGAAAATCATATAAAAACTAAACCCAGGGGCAGAAGGATAATGTTGTAACATCTACGCAAACATTCTTAATATAGTTAAATAAGGTGAAAACGAGTAACGTATTAGAGAGAGAGGCTTGATTTCATTTACAGGACGTCCTGGAAGGCGCTGCAGAGACAGAAATAGTCCAGTGCGGCCGCCGGGGGGCGGGAGGGGCCGACCACGAGGAGCGCGGCGAGCTTTCGGGGGAGCGGGGACTGCTCTGTATCCTCACTGTGCTGGTGGTTACGGAACTGTACGCATCTGTCAAAATTCACAGAACTTCATCCCAAAAGGGTGAATTACAGCTTGTGTTTTTTGTGATTTTTTTTTATTGGGGAAAGAATACTTAGATCCTTTGGGGCCTTTTAAAAAGACGCCAAAAGTGCGTGGAAAAAAGATGACAGAAACGGATTTTAACTACCCGAGCCCTGAAGGGTCCGACGCAGACGCACAACAGCGCCCCTTCCCGTGACTGAGGCACTTACCCCTTCTCTGGCCGTGTACTTGATTCAGTAAATACAGGAGGGCGAGTGTCGCGAAGGACCAGCGGGCGCTTGAAGTCGCCCCCCTTCCCCCGGCCGCCATCCCCGACGGCCGTCCGAGACGTGAGGCGGCGTCCAGCATCCGTGCGACGGTCAGTCCTGGGCGAGAAGGACGTGCGGCGTGACCCACTCCCGCAAGCACACGCCCCGCCCCCCAACACCCTGCCCGCTAAGAGCCTGGGAGGTGCCGGCCTCCAGCGGGCTGGGCCCTGGGGCGCATTCGCAGTGAGACCGGCCGCTGCTTCAGGGGTCCACTGTGGGGTCAGTTTTCCAACGACAGGCTTCAAGTTCAGGATCACGACTGAGCCGGTTTACCAGCTCCCCACTCCATGCCACCAGCGTTTGAACAGCAGTGCGTGAAACCGCAGTGCGGACAGATAACTAAGCGATACACGGGACGACGTGGTAACTGCTATATATTCACTTTTACAGTCACTTGCTTACGACAAGGAATACCAGGTTTCCATCGGCACTGTGAAATAAAGTTCCTATTTCGTACGCATTTAAATGGTTTAAAGGGCAAAAACGGGGGAATAAATGGTATAGGGGTTTCCCGGTGTGACAAACATTGATAAATGACACAGAAACGACTGAAGTTTAACGCGGCAGCAACTATAATGGGATGGGGCGCTGGTAGAGGAGCACTCGGCGTCGGGGTCGGGAGCTGGACACCCACAGAGGAGCGGGGACTGACCGGGTGGGCGGCGGGGCCAGAGGAGCGGGGACTGACCGCGTGGGCCGCGAGGCCGGGACAGCCTCCCAAGTGCCAGGTCCTCCTCCAGGCACCGGGCACAACAGTCAATGAGACAAAGGCCCTGCCCTCAAGGACCTTAGACTCCGGCCGGGAGAGACACAGAGCTAAACAAATAAGGCATTTAAGATCCTGACATGCGCTCCGAAACCTTGAGTAAGTCAATGCGTGAGAGTAAATGCTGGACCTGAACTGAGATCGACTAACGAGGAGACTCCCGGGACAAGGCCGGGGACAGAGCGGCAGGAGCAAGTACACAGCCCGAGACACGGACAAGCTTCCAGGAAGAGGGGCCGAGAGCGCGGGGACGCTCTGAGACATGGGCTGGTCAGCGACACGGCCTCGCGGCCAAGGGAAGGACGGGGAGTTTAGCTCGGCTGAGATGAGAAGCCACTGGAGTGTCCCAATCAGGGAAGACCCACGCTCTGGGGTGTGCTTGGGGGAGGCTTCCCCAGCGGCTCCGCGCAGGGCAGGCAGGCTCCAGGCAGGGCAGGGCAGGGAGCCGGGAGCCAGCTGAGCAAATCGGAGGCGAGGGCTACGGTTCCAAGAGCGGAGGTGGTGAGGTTCGGGCGCTGCTCCGGAGCTGGGGGCCTTCCAGGTGCACTACATGCAGGACAGTGTGCTGCTTAAAACGCAGGCGGGGTCCGAACCCCAGCTTTGCCACCTGTTGTGTGATCTTGACCTCGCTGTGCCTCGGGTTTCTCATCTGTAAAGTGGGGATGGTAACTATCTTCCCCATGAGGTTGTTGTGAAGGTTAAGTGAGTAAATACACGTAAAGCACTTGGAAGAGCGCCGAGCACACAGTCCGTGCTGTGGGCGGATTCTGTGTGTGGGGGTGGTACAGGGAGACCCCACGGGAAGCAAGGAGGGCGGCAGATTGGGTGGAAAAGCAGCGACGGTGGAGGGCGGCGCCCCTGAAACCCCCTCTGCGGCCCAGGGAGGAGCAGGCAGTGACTTACGGGCTGAAACCGGGGATCTGAAGCTCCCTCCACAGAAGTCACTGACGTGCTCCCCCTCCCCCCCAGAGGGGTTCTCCCTGCGGCAGAAGGAACAGCGGAGGAAACCTGGGCGGCGGGCAAAGTCACAGGTGCCCAAGAGGAGAGCCGCCCACATCCGCCCATCGCTGGGGGCATCTCAGAGCAGGCCTCCGCCCGCTCCTGCGGAATGACGCCTGCCAGCCCGCAGGCCCGCACCGCACCACGAGCTCCCTCAGGCCCGACAGCGCCTCATTTACACTGGCACAGACCACCGAGGACCAAAGCCACACGGGTGGGCCAAAGCAGGTCTACAGGAGGAGGAGACAGATGCTACAAACAAATGCCATGCTAACTATTAAACAGTGACAAGAATAAACACTTTCGCATGCTCAGAACTGCAAACCTACTTTTGCCCACCCTGCATACGCAGAGCCTAGGACGTTAAGGAGAAATTCAGGGTGAACGGGACAACCAAAAGGCAAGGAAAAGTGAACCCCGAGGAAGCAGGGGTGACATGGAAAACTACAAGGGAGAAGGCCACAGACAACCGCCTGTCAACTGTTCTCTCGGCTGACGTGGCCCAACCGCAGAGAGAGACTGCCGGGCGATGGGGGCACCACGCGGCGGGCAGGATGCTTTGCCGAGCTGTACCCTCGAAATCTGTACGGGTTTGTGAACCGACGTCACCCCAGTAAACTCAATGGGGAAAAAATGTAAAGAACAGACTGTCTTCTGCACAAGGAGACGTTTGAAAGTTGACAACAAAAACAGGACAATGCAATCAGAAATAAAAGCAGCTCTCACAAGTTAAACACATTGCTAAATGTCAACATTTTTTCAAAGACAGATAAAAACATTGAGCCCTCTTTCAGAAAAAAAAACCAGAAACAAGAAAAACAAACCCCAAAGACGAAAATAGAAAATGTCACAGGAGATAAGAGAAACAGGGACTTGATAAAGGAAAGGAAATCCAACATCTATAACCGGAGCCTCATAGGAGGGTTCAGAAACGCTCTCCTTAGGGAGCGGAAATGGCCGGACTCTTCTTGGCGGCCGCTGAGCAATGTCCGAGGCCGAGGACACGCGTCCCGAGCAGCTTAATAATCATAACCAAAACATACACGAGGCGGGACCACACACCGTCACGGCGCTGTTATTCTCAGGATGAACAGCTTTCTAGTCTATTCCACTGTCATCAAAATTACTTCTCAGAATGAAAATGTGCTCATGGAAATTCTAAAATGCCAACTGCTAATGTCACAGAATTACACAGTGTGTGCGGGAAGAACTGAACGGCGGAGACAAAAATAACCGCAGACCGTATTCTCTGGCTGGCTAAACGTTACCTTGACGGGAGACAACCCCTCGCCACAAGGTGACAGTTTTTCTAGAAAAGAGAAAAGGCCGTCCCAGGAGGTGGGGAGGAAAGGGGGGCCGAGGCAGCCGCGGCCAGCGCTGGGCCGGGCGCCCCTGCGGACAGACTGTAGTCCTGGCTCCGTTGCTAATTAGTGGTGGGCCTGAGGGCAAATCACTTAATCCTCTGGCTTCAGCCCCAAGCAACGGGCAGAGAGGCCAGCTCCACTCAGGGTCCGCAGGAGAAGCCTTCCACTCCTGCCGGCGGGCAACAAGCACGAGGACACAGTGGCACAGGCCGGCGCCAGCTAGGGCCACTGATGGGGGGCAGCTGGGAGGTCATGAGCACCGGGCCGCGTGGTCTCGGGAACAGGCCGAAGGCAGTGTCGCCAGCGCCTGCCTGCCTGCCTGAAAGCTGGCAGGAGGATACACTCTTCCTTCTGTCGTAACACTGACAGAGAAAACTGAGCAAGTCGTTTCGGCAACATAACACTATGCTTGCAATAGATCTGGTTTCTCTAATGAGCAAAACTCTCAAACGGACTTGAGGCCAAACGGCACATGAACAGGGCCTTCCGATGTGGTTCCAGGAAAAGGGACATGTGAAGGTTGTCTCTGCTCCCTTCTGGTCACGACACTGTGGGAACTTGCCCCCCCCGCCCCAAGTGCCTTATTCTTGGAGGAGAAGGCATTTTCACAGAGTTTCAGGAGCCTTGCTGCACCAGATGACAAAGTCCATGCCTCGAGGACAGGACGGGTAAGAACTGCACTGGCAGGTGCCGACCCGGCTGCCCCTGAGTCTCTGAAGGTGGCCGTCACCAGCCCGCACCATTCTCTGGAGGCTCCTAGAGGATGTGACTCACCCTCAAAATGGGTAGAAAAGAATGAGAAAAATGACCCATGAAACTGGAGTTTTAACCCAGGGAAGGAGCCCTGTGCCCCCTCCTCCCCAAATATCATCATTCCAGGTCACATTAAAACTGAGACTGTTCTCCGAGCTGCCGGACTCCTCCATGACTCCGTGTCTGCACGTATTCTTCCTCCCGGCTGGAATTTCCTTTCTGCCACTGTCCTCAGTTCACCTGGGAACCTCCAGGGAGGAGCTGGAAGAGCTCACCACCACCTCTGCAATACGTTCTGGGATTCCCAGGAGCTTAGCTGCTCCTTCCTCTGCTTCTACGCTTTAATTTACGCCCCTACTTCAGGGGCTGCACAAACTAGGACCCAGGAGCCAGATTCGATCCACCTAGGCTCTGTAAATAGTTTTACTAGAACACAGCCACACCCATGTTTGTGCACTGCCCATGGCCGCTTCCCACCACGGTGCTGGGGCTGAGCAGCTTCCAAAAGACTGCGCGGCCTGCAAAGCCTAAAACGTGCATTGCCCGCTGGCCCCTTACCTTCGGTCCGCTGGCTCTGCCCCAGTGCATCCCTTCCCGATTCTGTAATTTCTCCACGGGCCTGTGAGCCTTGGGAGGAGTTCACTGCTCACGGTCAGGCCCCGCGTCCAGGCACAGCGCCTGGCGCTGAGCAGACACTGAAAGCTCGAAGCTGGCGGATGGAAGAATGAGCAGCGAGACACGAATGGGTACATGTCCACTCTGTGCTCTGCCTGTTAGGCTGCACGCTGACCCAACCCTGGGAACACAGTCAGGGCTGTGGTTGCCGAACCCTGCACTGAGGAGCCCCAAGGCACAGAAGCAAGTGAACTGGGTGTTATAATACATTTTAAATTTTCAAAGCGAAGAAAGTGGTATCTGTTCACCACTGTCGGAACCTTCGGCTCAGGACAGTTCAGTTTCAACGCTAGGCCACGCTGCAGGCCTTTCCATGACGCCGTGTCTTCGTGAAGAGGAGAGAAAGGGTGGTGTTGGCTGCTGTGATAAAACACAAGTGCCACCAAAACTCAATGTAGAAGTGGAAATGAGCCCCAGCTGGGTAGCTCAGTTGGTTAGATTGTCATCCCAATACGCCAAGGTTGCAGGTTGGATCCCCGGTCAGGGCACACACAAGAATCAACCAATGAATGCGTCAGTAAGTGGGACAGCAAATCAATCTCTCCCTCTCCCCCCACCTCTCAACTCCTCTCTCTCCAAAATCAGCAAGAAGGAAGAAACAAAGAAGAAAGACAGAGAGAGAGAGGGAGGG